GTATTTGGCCTGGCAGCGGTTCATGCCGAGGTATGTGCCAAAGGGTTACAAATTAAAAGGTAGAAGGGAAGGCAGTGACAACATGATATGGTGAACAAACAGTCATGGCCTTTGGGAGTGAAGCTTAACTCTCTGTGGTGTTGCAGCTCTTTTCACCGGACTAATAAGAGGAAAATGTGCCAGGGAATTCTTTTAACATAGCCCCCATTGGTGTATGTGCAGGGGACTGCCTGGAGAGGTTTATGTTGGTACTTGGTTTGTCCATGTCCCAGCTGTGTCTCATGCAGCCAGGGGAAAGGTCAACAGCAGCACTTGCAGTTGTCATTCCAAAGCCCAAGCTTTCAAGTCCCCTGTGACCATCTCTAGCTTCACCATCGCAGACCAGCCACACTATCTTGCCCCAGCAACTGGCTGAGCTCTTGCTGGGCACATGGTGGTCCTGTGGTGTGACAGGGGTTCCAGTTGTGTGGAAGTGCTGCTGGGCAGCCTGTTCTTTAGCCTTGGTGATCAAGCCCAACCTCTGCATGATGATGGCCAGGTGCTGCCTTGCTCCTCTCATGGACATGTGCACCTGGCTCTAGAATGACCATGTACTTTTGGATCATTTTGATCCGCATTTGAATCATTTTGGTCTGTATTTCAGGTGCTTGCGGACGTTTAGCAGTTTTTTTCCAGGAAGCTTCTATTTTTTCATAGGTTTCTTTGCTCATCTTTGGTAGCCTGCATCCGACTGTGAGCCCTAGTGATGTGTGATTTCCAGGAATGCAGATTTTCAGAAAAAAAGTTTTTAAAGGTTTCAATATTCGGTCTGGTCTGCCTTCTGCATTCAAAAGAAAAAAAAAATAAAAAATCATACCATAAATCATGATAGATTTTGTATCTTGCAAGAGAAAAATTTGCTTTACTTGTGAGCTCCCAAAGATGTGACAGGCCTTGAAGAAAACATTGGCCTGTCACCTCCCTATTATCTGTGTAGCACAGTGGTTTTCATTACAGGGATCCATGCTGATCCGTCAGATAACCTGGAAGCAATAGAGAGGTAATTGCTGTGTGGTAATGACCACTGGCCTGTGATGCCCAGTCAACAAGGGTCATCTTACAAGCATGTAAAAACAGAGCTGGACAGCATCTGCCTGCTGGAGCTACACAAGGTCCAGAAAAGGGCCACAAAAATATTCAGAGGGCTGGAGCACCTCCCCTCTAAAGAAAGGCTGAGAGAGTTGGGATTGTTCAGCCTGGAGACGAGAAGGCTCCAGGGAGACTTTGCTGGGTGGCTGAGATGTTGTAGGGGAGCTGAAACACAGGAGTGCTCATCTGTGCACAAGGCCAAGTCATATTCAATAAACACTGACATAGTTTATGGTCGGAGGAGACACTGTTTGTGCTTTTTCAGACAAAATGTTTGTCTCTTGTGTAGTTACTGGATTTTACATTACTTTTGTGGATTTTTTTTTTAGTGTCATCATATACTAAAGGACAGATTGTGCTGTGATGCAGGGTGTGGACCCTGCTCGTTTGCAGGAAAGCTCCTAAACAGAGGCTCACAGAGAGCTGCTGGATGTGGACCTGACCCCCCCTGGAGTACCTCAGAGTCAGAGAGCCATTGGGAAGGTCTGTCAGAAACATGCTGTCTAGACCTGCAGAATCACACAAACATTAATCTTTAGCTGAGTGTGGATGAGGATCTTCAGGGGGATCATACTCTAGGACAGAATGAACAATTTGTCATTCCCCAGTCAGAAGCCAGTTCTTCATTCCTCCATGTGAAAGCAGAACTGTATTATTGCCTTATAAAATGTCCCTACTAAGAATGATTTCATGGGTTTATTGTTTTGGTCCCCAGCAGCTATCCTAATAAAGATAATAACAGCAAGTAGTTACTGTGCTTGGCAGATTACAACAACAGAAACGGGCTTTGCATGATCCTGAAGAAAACAGAGGATGGAGCTTCATTGTACTTTGTTGCCTAGCTCTGTTTTTTTCTTCTACTCTGAGGACTGCTGTTACATTCTTTACCCTTCACGCAATAGGGAATGCCTTGGGAAAAACATGTATCTGGCATATAGAGCTTACTTCACCTCTCCTTTCTGTCCTCACAAACTAGGTTTAAACAGGCTTTCTTTGGCTTCTAAATAATGAGTTAAAACATGCAACAAATTAGTGTAGCCTCCACAGAAAACATTTTGTGAGAATACTCTGAGAAGTGAGATATTATGCTCTTATTTCTGCTGAATCTGTTACTACAGTTGAGATCAGTTAAGTGGAATTAAACTCCCTCTCCTTCAGTTTTGAATAGTGATCCCATTCACACACAACCTGTATTGAAAGAGGTCAGAACTCTTCAGCTGAACTGCACCTGAAAATAAATATTTTACGGTCCAGAAAAAAATCTTCAGACCTAGCTGCACAGGTAACCCCACAGAAACAAGTGACTGAAGTCTGAGTCTTACTTGCTGCGTAAACTGAGTTTATTACACACATGTTTAAAGATCTTCTCTTAAAGTGTAATCTCATGGTAAACTTACCCTCAAATCATTAACCAAGCTTGGGCTGCTCAAGGACTGCTTTCTGCTGACACAAAGCAGTCAGTCATCCTCAGCACGAGTACTTTCACAAGGTAAGTCAATGTTGACTGTTGCCAAGTTGAGTTTGCCAAGGTAGAAGTAGCCTCTGGTCCTGCTTCCATATTACAAATGCAGAAAGCAGTAAGATGCTTTGTGTTTGAGTTCTTCCAGTTATCGGTCACCTGTTTCTTCCCATTTACTCTGTAGTCACCCTTAAAGGTTAAGAAACCTCCCCTTTCTTTAATGGAAACAAAGAACAATACTTGATTCACATTCATATTTCTAGACATTGTTTCCCAAGCATCAGATGCACTTGTTATAAATTGGCCAAAGATCTAAAACCGTGCTGATAAAAATGTTAAAACATACCCAAGAAAAGTAAAGAGTCCAAACCACAACACAGAACAAAACCACAGTGGTTTTATATGAAATGCTTGGAAGTGTTAATCTGATAAACTCTTCAGTGGGATCCAGTGTAACATTTTGCAGTACCTAAGTCTATGATTTACTTAAATTTACTGAAATTATAGTTGAAACACACGGCCACCATAAATTTTAATCTCTGCAGTACTTTCCTTGCCAATCAGGTAATGGCATGCTAAAATCATTCAGGTGGACATATAGTTCAGATTTTACTGTGGTGAGCTGCATGCACAAATTTGTTAACCTTTTGGTGTTAATGAAGGCCCACAGAAACAGTTTCCTTTATTTTCTTATTAAAAGATTGCATATTAAAAGCAAATTTAAAAAGTCCTAACCTTTTGTAGAACCTGTGACAGCAGCTTTAGCCCTTTAATTCATAGCTGGCTATTAAAACAAAATTGCAGCACAATACAGAGGATTTAAAGCAGGAATCAGAAGAAAAAGGCAGGCAGAAAAAGATCATTGGAGCAGGTCCAGAGGAGGGCCACAAAAATGACTAGAGGGCTGGAGCACCTCCCTTGGGAAAGGGCTGAGAGAGTTCAGGGAGACCTTACTGTGGCCTTACAATGCTTAAAGGGGCCTATAAGAAAGATGGGGGCTGTCTTTTTAGTCATGCCTGTTGTGACAGCAAAAGGGGTAATGGCCTTAAACTAATAAAGAATACATTTAGACTAGATCTAAGGAAGAAATTTATACAATGAGGATGGTGAATAGCTGAACCAGGTTATGCAGAGAGGTGGTAGATGCCCTGTCTCTGGAAACCTTTAAAGTCAGGTTGGATGGGGCTCTGGGCAACATGATCTAGTTGAAGATGTCTCTGCTCATTGCAGGTGTTTTGGACTAGAAGACCTTTAAAGGTCCCTTCCAAACCAAACCAAACCATTCTTCGATTTAATTTATAAATGCTGTTTCTTGAAGTCTGGGGTTTGAGCTTGATCCTTCTATTCAAGCATGGTGGTGGTGTAGACCTTTCAGCACTGTCTTGGTTTGTATTTCGTACTGGAGGATACTGAAGTTTGTACTGGTGCTGAACCATCTGTTTCTTAAAAATTGGGAATCCTAAAACACCAGGACACTGCGAATACTGCAATATAAAATGACAAGTTAGTGACAGTAGAAAAGCCTCTGGGCACACAGCAGCAAAACATCGCTGTTGGCTCTGAAAATCTATCGGTGTCAACCAGGGTACTCCCTCCCCACCCCCCTTGTCCCCACTGCACCCAAGTTCCAGCAAAATGACAGAGCAGATGTGGAAGCCTTGCTGTAGACAGAGAGAACAAAATTCATCCAAGGTTGCAAAGCCTTTGCTCACAAAGCCCAGGGCTCCTAGCCATTGACAAGTACAGGCTGGGGAGCCAGGGGGGCTTAGACACATCCTTCCAGTTACAAATGACTCTAAGGGTAAGCTCTGAATGGGACAGCTCCTTCTGGGCAGAAACACTGCAGTGTTTCACTTGTTAAAAAGGGGCAGCTGTAACACACCTCTGTCTTCAAGTTGACTGTCATTCATTTAGCAAAGCTGACGGCATTGGTGTCCTCACCCCTTTCCCTGTTCGTTACACTAACATCTAAAACTCACATTTACAGCACATTTAAAATAAGGACAGTCAAAAAATGACGTGCACGCTGTGTAGTTAGAACCTGAGAGCAAACCTCAGAGGGTAAATTCTTCTGTTCCTTTTTATTTTTAAAGTAAGTAACATCTAAAATAACTGCTAGCAAATGACTATGAAAAGAAAACATGAATGTAATTCTCCAGCCTGTGAATATTAGAAACAGCTAGAACTTTCAAAAAGGGTACTCCCCACACATACTAACCTATGCAAATGCATTTACCACTTCTGCCAAGGAGAATTTTCAGTAATTCCCATGGTGAATCTTGTCAAATGTCTTTGGCAAACAGTATTTCTGATTTCAACATCATATGAAAACAGAGTTTGAGCTGAACTCTCGTAATATTTGAGGAATGCATGAGAGCTACATTCTGAGTTCGCAGCGTGTATGTACTCCAGTTACTTTCCTTTTTGAAAAGCTTATAAGGTCAAAATAAAATACCCAGTGACTTAAGGACTAAGTGCACTGGGACTCTGTTCCCTAACTCACAAGAGGAATGATGAGTTGCTCTTCCAGTAGACAGAGGCCATTTCTGTATTCCTGCTCCTCATCCTAGAAGGGTTCTTTCAGTGTGATGTGGCTGACCCCTGCCACTCCACAGCCTGGCATTCCCAGACTCCCTGGTTGTGTGCTCTTTACTAGTGGTCATGGACAGACTTCCTCACTGGTGAGCTGGGTGATATTGAGGGGCACAGTGGGTTGCCTTCCCCATGCTCTGCCATGAGGTCATACCCTGTGTTACCATACAGCTCCTTTAGGTTATTTATATAAAACCTTTTCACAGTTGAACAATATTTACCTCTTCCCTGTCCTTAGAAGATCAAACCCCTCGTTGATTTTAGTGAAAGGAAGTGTGTGGGTGATTAATGGATCCAGAACAAATTTTTTCTTCATGTAGTCAGCAACCAGTTTAGGAACTGATTCTTTACTCTTCCAGCCTGAAAAAAACCCACAGACAATGGATAATGAAACATTAAATGCTTATGAAAATAGTTTAAACCCATAGCAGGTTAAATTTTTAGGTACACTTTCTGTAGCAGAAGAGCATGATGAAATGCTGCAGCACGTCTTTATGTAACACAGAGTGCTAGCAGGAGACATGGGGTGAAGCACAGCTAATCTACATATGACAAACCCGGGGAGTGCTTAACTAGTAGAACAACAAAAATTCGAATCTTTACAGAATCCAAACTTTCCCCCTCATTGAATATTGTTTCAACTTGTCTGTTGATATATCATCCACTAAATCACACATCATAGAAAATCTGGAGTGCTGACATCCATGTTCATAACTGAAAACTTGATTGCCTAGTCAAAATTTCTGACCAGGTGTCTCTTTTTGCATACAAGCAGTACTAAATAAAGCTGTCTTAAATAGTAGGATGGCCTTCCAAAAGAACTTGATTTGTCTCTGCTATTTTTTTCAGGTGTCTGTTAGACATCAGAGGAACTGTTTGTGAGTGAGAAAACCTGTTCCTGGAAATGAGTTTTCTGTAGCCTTCGGTTTTGTGTTGAGTGAGTGAGGGCTTGCTGCATGTAGGACTCTGCTGGGAGAGCTCAGAGTAGAGAAAGACCTGGAAGGAGCTGACAGCAGCTGGCAAGGGGCTGAGCTGGGGTCTGGCCTGTCTGGAATCAGATGGGTCTGACCTCGAATGTCCTTTAGGGTCCTGACTCTCCATCTCTTCCTCTCCTTATTTTCTTTTTCTCTCTCCTTTTTTTCTCATTTTTTCATCTCATTTTATTCTCTTTTCCCCATCTTTTTGTCTATTTTTTGTCTTTTTATCTCTTCCTTTCTCTTTCTCTGCCTGTTCTCTCCCCCTCCTTCCTCCCTCCTTCTCTGTTTTTCGCTCTTTTCTCTCACAATTAACTAACAATTCCCAGAGTTAATTCCCTTTGTGTTTCTTTGCCAGCAAAATAGCTATCAATGTTACTTCCAATAGGATAACTTAAGCAATGAATTTAAATACATCCTATTTAATTCAAGATCCGTTCTAATTTTCCCAAGCCAGTTAAACTGCATTTTTCGAAGTGTTTACCTCCAAAGACGGACCCTTTCCAGGTGCGACCGGTGAAGAGGAGCATGGGGTCAAAAGTGATCTCTTGTGTTGCGGGAGGCACTCCTACAATCACACTGACTCCGTAGTTGTACTGGCAACAGGCCAGGGCTGCAGCCTGCATTGGAAACAGAGGGACACCTCAGTACCAGGCATCACTTGCTGTCGGGCCACAGAAGTTTGAATTCCTTCTCCTCTCAGGGCTCAGCATGCGATTCAATTTTTGTAACTGAAAGCACATCAAAAAATTTCCGTTGTATCTGCTCACAGCATTGTACCTGTTGTCATGGGTTAGTTATGTCCTAGCTTTTTTCTCCTTCCCATTTTTGTCTTTAGTGATATGCCACTGTTGGAAAGCAGGCAGTGGGCTATGTGACACCTAGCCACCCTGTTTAGGTGGCTGTCACATAGCCTTCAATTACATTGAACTTGCCTTTTCTAAATTTTTGAGCATGCTTCAGTCCCTGCATCTCACTGGCAGATAGCTGGACTTAACAGGTTTAAAGTTAGCTCAGCGTTTTTGAGTGGCTCTCAGCTCCTCACCCTTGGTGCTTAGCAGGTTAGCAAAGAGAGAGCTAACAAGCTAATGCCTCATCTGACCACATCTTTCAGGTGAATACCATGGTTTCGGTACGGCCGATGACCTCAAAGGAGTAGTCCACACCCTGGCCAGTCATTTCTATCAACACCTCGTGAATAGGCTTCTTGAAGTCTTTGGGGTTGACACAGTCGGTGGCTCCCAGCTCCTTGGCCTTGGCAAACTTGTCGCTATTGATATCAATGCCAATGATGCGGGAAGCTCCAGCTGCTTTGCAGCCCATGACAACAGAGAGGCCGACTCCTCCAAGGCCAAAGATGGCACAGGTGGAGCCTGGTTCTACCTAGAATAGCCAAAGAAACAGCATACTGTTATGATCTAGGTAAAGAACAATGTATTTTCTTATTATCAGTGTTTTCACTTAAACCACTTCTTGTAATTTAGAGATTACCTGCTGAGAAGGAGTTTGCATATACCTACTAGTGCTGTGGCCAGCTATATTGTTATAAATCTACATGTGATTACGATAAATTGTCCCTGAAATACATTTCTGAGACCAGGTTTTCATTACATGTCTCAGCTTCATATTTAGAGACACATTTTTTGTATGATGTTTCCTGTTCCAGCGGTGTTAAGTTCTGCACTATCACTCCACTGGAGACAGTGACAGCTTTGCAAAAATCACATTCATATATTGCTACAAATCGTGAGTGTTGCATATATAGGCTTCCATGTATTCTAGACTCAAGCTGCAATAAAAAAAAAACCAGTTTTGTTGTAATATTTTTCTAGAGATGATACAGCTATGAGAAAGAACTTAATAGATGGTAATAAGTATTTCTACTGGATTTTGAACTGAAGACTTCTGTGTGCCTTAGAGACAGAGAAACTGAAGTAGGTGAAGAACTACTATCTTCTTTCCACCCTCATCTCAACAGAGGCTGTACCTCCTGGCTGCTGTGCTAGCGACACACTCGCAGGCCACACAATCCTGAACAGGCCCCGTACGATACCAGAAACAGCCACCGCAGCACTTACCTTGGCAGTCTGCACAGCAGCCCCATAACCAGTTGAAAATCCACAGCCAATTAGACAGACTTTTTCCAGAGGAGCAGCAGAATCAATTTTGGCTACAGCAGATTCATGCACTACTGTGTATTCAGTGAAGGTACTTGTAGCAGCAAAATGATGAATTACTTTTCCTTTACAGGTGAATCTACTGGTGCCATCAGGCATTAGTCCAACAGCTGAAGCAAGGCTGTTTGAAAGATGACCAGAAATAATGGCAAGTGAAATATGTTGTGTGTGATCAGTTTTGTATAAATAAAAATCAAATATGAATTATAGATAACCCAGGAAAACTCACTCATTTTTAATGCAGAGATTACCCTTGGTGCTTAAGCAGCTGCTGCACTCCCCACACTGTGGAACAAAGAGTGGAATAACCTTGTCTCCTAGAAATAAAATAGTAATGGTGTAGAGGGTTAAAAAAGGCAAACAAGAACCATGCAGGTAGAAACATGATGCAGATTTATTTAATCCCTAGGCAAATATTCACTAGGAGTGCAGTGTTGGTCTTGTTTTCTTCTCCTGCCCTTAGAAGATAAACCAACTCTCTCTATTATAAAGGACACAATTAGGGCAAAGTTATGACTATTGATTTCAATATGCCAAATTCCTGATTTCTTTCACAGAACTGAGTCTGAGCTATGTCATAAAGCCATGTTAGCTACTGACATTCCTGAAAGGACTCGTTCATCAGTTTATTGCATCTTCTACTTAAAAGGAAAATAGACAGAGAAACTGAGATAAAAATTGACATCCACTAGGACAGCAGATTAGGCTACCGAGATAACAGGGTTATAAATTGTGCATACAAAGAATGGGAAATGAAGCATCGATTTGCCAGCCCTCTTGAGTCTCTTTCCTATTTGCAGTCCTACTGCTGTTGCATTGAAGTAAAAATATGTAAAATATTCCTTAGAAGGCCATGACACACACAAGCTAAGATGACATCTCTAATTCTCTAGCACATCTCTAATCACATGAGCAACAAAGTAGCACATAGCTTCCCAGTGCGTTTTTTTTTTACTGCTATGCATTTTCCACAGCAAGATTTATAGTAAATCAGTAATAATCTCTAGCCAGGTAATGCCTAATACACATCAATTTGTGATTTGGCAGATCTAAAATGTAGCTAATGTTGAAAGTCAAGGGAAATCTTTGCTTTCCACTAAAAAATGGAAAATGGTTACAGAACATGAACTGTCCCCACTACTCCAACTCTCAGTTAACTTAGAACTGTGACATGGGTTCTTCTAAATCATTCTGCTAAAGAAACTTTGCACATCTTGAGGCCTTTTTTTAGAACGTGAAGGTGTAAATTAAGCAACAACTGAGAAAGGTGATATTGTGTGTGTGTGCTCAGCCCGGCTGTTTCAGCTCACTTGGAAACACACGGCAGCTAGGATTGGACAACAGAGTGACTTATGAACCCAGACATCAAAGAAAAAGCCATTAGAGCTGTCACTAAAATTTGCAAGATATTTATTTGGAGTTAAAGCAGAAATCTTTAATAAAACTTTTTCCTATCATACATAGAAACCTGCTTTGGACAAAGATGCTGGAAGTACGTCAGTGTTAAAAGTGAACTACTTTGGTACTGTAAGAAACTGCCTGGATAAAATTGGGTGTTTCTATGCAGCTTTTGTTCACTGTATAATTTATCTTAAAAATTTAGCTCTTGTTAGAATTTGTTAGGTCCCATAGCAGTGTATAGACATCCTGCCTCATCTTGCAGCAGCTGGAGGAAAATCAGCATCTTTCATTGACTTCTGTATCTACCCACTGTGGTTCCAAGAGAGTGTAGCAAGAGCAGCGGCTGGCCCAGGTGAGTGTCCTCAGAGTGATGCAGCCCTCAGAGAGTGGGGGTGACTCACCTGCTCTGCTGCAGCACACCAGCAAACCCTGCAGGATGGCTGGCACCCCAGTCCTGCCCCAGTGCTTTTAAAGTGAAGCAACTGAACACAGACCTAAGTTCTGGTCTACCGAAGTAAATGGATTATTTAGCTGTTAGGAGAACTAAAAGAAGGTGCTATGACATATTGTCTAGTGCTTTACTTTGCCTTATTCTTGAGAGAGATTAGCTGTGTAAACTAGAACCTGCAGCCAATACCTGATCTCCTATGACCAACGGTGAAGAATCTTTAATCCCATGAAAGGAAAAGCACTATGTAGGTGGAAAGCAAGCTGCCAAAACCAACAGAAATTGAATAGAACATCTGAAAATAAATCAATATTGGGAACACAGAAAGCTATAAATAGCATGTAATATCTTCTAAGGTATCCTTGAAAAAAACCAAAGTTGGAACATTTTCCTCTGCAATACAAGTACACATGCATGCAAGCATCTTTGACTTAAAGAGGAATCTGGAAACTCAGCACAGGGTTTGTGTTCACTGCTGTTTCATACCTGGCTTGACTGAAGTTACTCCCTGCCCAACACTCTCCACAACACCAGCTGCTTCATGCCCCAGAATTATTGGAAAAGGCATCACCAGTGCACCCATTACCACATGGTCATCAGAGCGGCAGATGCCTGTGGCCACAATCTGATTTAGAGGAAAGGGAAGAAAACTTCAGCATGAATACTTCATATATTCACAAGGAGGCACTTGCTTCCCACCAAAATCACCTACACATGCCATAAATCTAGAGGTAAACCACTTTTGGTTCTGTGATTCATGATTTTCATGGTCTCTATTAGCCTTTAATCTAATTATGATGTAATGTTATATATAATTACAATTATATACAAAAATTTAAGTTATACATAGTATTTTAAATCACATTTTGCCTTTTTTTTTTTGCAGGTAGCACAGCAGTATTTCTTTTGAAACATTCAGATATATCTTTGCAACTTTTATTCTGACAAATGGAGTTGTCAACCCCATGAAAGAGTTCTCCTCACTTGTATAACACTTGAAACTGCTCTAAAATGAAAACAGCTGCTGAATTCCACTGAAAAAGTCCCTGAAATGTAACAGATGCTCAATACCCAGTTAAATAAGGAAGATCCCAACCCTACTGAGCTATTTCCTAGCACAGATTCAAACAAAGTAAAAGATAATTTCTTGCTTCATGCTGTAGGAGATTCAATTTTTTGCCTTGCACTGTTGTTTTTTTCAGCCTGTTAGAAGCACAAGTGTCTTAGTAAACGAAAAACAAATCCTAGAAACCTTTTTTTTTTAAAAGAACCTCATGATCAAATTCCGGACTTGAAGCATGTTCCATAGGGAGGTCACTGAATAGTAACTGCTCACCTAGTTCATGTTTTCTGACTGGATCCTAAGAATCTATAGAAATAATATGACTAATAGCAAGATAGAATGCATGTCATAATAATTGTTTTAAATTGTATTTTTAGTACCTTTATGCGAACTTCATTTGCTTTTGGTGGGGCAACTTCCACTTCCTCAATAGAAAATGGTTTATTGGCTTCCCACATCACTGCTGCTTTGCATTTAATAACCTGCAGACAAAGAAAAAGGGATGGCACTTACATTTGTAGTTATCACACAGACACATTCTTACATTTCTACATGTGAAACTCCTGCTCATATGTGGAGGAGAGAGAAAAGTATAGGAAAAGAAAACCAACCCCAAAACACAACAAAAAAGCCAACAACAAAGCACAATGTAAGCCCATATTTCCCCCCACCAAGATAGGGTCTGACTTTGTTCATATTTCTGCAACAGGAAGATTTCAGCAACGTGTAACAGTCTCCCAGGATAACTGGATGCCTTATCCATCCTCATTGCTCTTCTCTGTTTATCACTTCCTCGGAGGATTAATTTTGCCATGTTGGGCTACCAGTGTGTATTTCTGACTTCTTGGAGATGGCACATTAAATAGAGCCCTGTATCAGGTTGTAATAAAGTCTGTATTGCCTAGAACTGCCTGTGTTGGGAACTGACAAAATTGCTAAAAATGGAATTCAGAGCCTAATACAGATTTAGTAATATTTTATTACAGCCCAAGTTCAGCCACGAGGTGATGGGTGAGAGGACACCTATGTGAAACAATGTAGCACTATGGAGAGATAATCTTGAAAAAGCAACAGTCCCTCTAGTACAAAATTATCTGTATTACTGTACCTTCCTTCTCAAAATGGATATTTAACTTTGGTGGGGTTATTCCCAATACCCAAGACAATATATATTTTTTTTTCTGTTAGCCTAATTTGTCCATGAGCTCCTTAGGCTTTGTCCAGGTGCTGACAGGCCTCTAGGCACCTCTGATCATCTGCTACTGAGAAAAGAATGTCCTCAGAAGAGAGAGGAGCATTGCCCACTCCTCTCCCAGGTTCTCAGACAGAGAGCAGCCCCAGTTCCCACCTCACAAGCTCAGTCCTAGTGTATCCAAAGGTATTGGGCCTCTCTGCCCTGTTCTTCCTTGGTGGTCTCTGCCCATCCCAGAGCTTTAAACAACTGCAGGCCCTGGAATATATGGGTGTCACCTTATGGGTGACACTACGAAGCCCTCAGTCCCTCTGTTAAGTCCTACTGAAAGCAAGCGTTCGGGTGGCGTTTTCTTGAGAGGGAAACAGAGATGTGTTGGGTCCATGCTGCAGGAGGTTTAGCACATGGGTAAGTATCCTGTGTGACTGGGACCCTGGGACTGGAACAGTTCAACACCAGTGTGCTGCAAATTCTCAGGGGAAAAAAGATAAAGCAACTTTTTAGTACCAAAGCTCTTGAAGTAGAAGTAATGTCTAATTATCAACAAATCGTCAACTGATAGCAAAGATAATAATTACTAGGAAATACTAAATACGTGACCCAAAGTAGCACATTTTCATCAGCCAGACCCAAAGTGGCAATGAGCAATCCTTTGAAAAGACTCAAGAGAGCTTTGCACTGAATTCAGCATTTCACATTGTTCTGGTTTGAGTTAGAACTAATTCTGTTCAGTGATTTTACTTTTCAGCCAAGTCTCTTCTAAGAAGCTACACTTTCTGAAGTTGAGAGCAGATTTTTGCAGACAGTGTCTTCTTCTGGAAGTAATAATGCTTGATGTTTATAGTTACTACCAAGGATAGGTATGCAGAGGGGATCTTGCTTATACTTGCTCCTGAGGAGATCAAGGTCACTGCTAAATCTGGGGTACCATACCAGGGGTACCATGAAGTAAAAGTTCATCCTTGCAGGGAGGAGCAGACAGGACAGGTGACCCTAAACTGACCAGCAAGGTATTCCATCCCATATACATCATGTTCAGCATAAAGCTGAGGGATCGTAAGGGTCACACTCTCTTCTTCAGTGGCCAGCATCCGAGGAGGACTCGGTCAGTTCTGTGTTTGATCCCAGTTTGTGCATTCCTGAATCCAGTTCCCATCTGCTGCTGTGTCCAGCCTGTGACTTCCCCAGTGCCTGACCCCAGCATCTGTGGTGATGGTGAGTAATCAGCATCGGGCGGGGAGGGGGCTGTGTTTGATATTGGTTTTGTACATAGTATCGTTTTCTTTGTTTTGTTTCATTAAAGCTGTTTTAGTTTCCCGTCCTTCGGTGTCTCTCATTTATTCCCTTTCTCTTCCCCCTTGGGAAGGGAGAGGGGTTAACAGAAAGTGTCTAGTGACAGAAATTTGCCTAGTGGCCAGCCCATCCCTAACCCAAGATAAATGTCAAATGCAAGGGTGATTAGTAAAATACTCAGAAGTGAGGCCAAAAATCACATCTTAAAGGGCCACACTTCCTAGGAAACTAACTTTAAAAAAAAGATTATATATTTACACTGTATCCCACGCAGCACAATAAAGATTACGCAACTTGCACTTGCGAAGCACATCTGTTTGTAAGAACAAAGGTAGCCAAGAACTGAGAATTACTGAGAACAAATAATCTTTCCTACAATTACACGTTGGTCAACTATGTATTGTTCTGATGGTTGAGTCCCTGTGACCTTCACCAACTGTAACAGGATCCCACAGACCCACCAAAAACACACTATCACCCATTTCATCTATTAAGTCAAGTGTTAGCTGGAGTCATAGGTTTGGGTTTTTTTCTGCTTGTGTGTTTTACCAGCCTTATAAGTTGATGCAGCAGGGAGAGCTTAGGTGTAGAAACACACCTTTTACAGAGCATAAGGATTATGCTGCTTGGTCACATAAACTTCACCATAACTCCGAGATGAACACAGTGAAAATAAGGCAGTTTAGTTACATCACATCACTTCATGACTGTGCTAAGTCCAAGGCTGGTTGGAGGACTGGACTTGGTGAATTTACCTGAAATAAATTATTGCCCTGAAGAACATAACAACCATTTCCTAGGAGACTACAGTGGCCTGCAAGTGAAGGCAGGTCTCCTGTACCATCTTCCTCCTAAACTCTCACCTGTACCACCAGGACTTACAGTGTCTCTGCAAATAAACCACATTTATAAATGCATTACTCAGCTGCAGCAAAGAAAATTTTCTAATAAAAACTTTTGCTTACTTTGCCTGCAGTGCTCATGCTGAACGGTGTCTCTGTTTCGAATCCTGCCACCCCTGATTTCTTGTGACAAGAATTCAGGCAGCTGCAAAGCACGCAGGTCCTGTCAGCACAAGTCCTGTCCCATACACTGGAAACCGTTCCTGTGAAGAGCTGCTGCAAGTGCACTGCTCTATCTTTTAGCCCAGCCTCCCACATCAGAGCCCCACCCCTTAATCAGCCAAAGCACTAAGAGGAAAATAAACAACTCGTCTGCTGAAAACTAACTCTTTACAGTGCTTTTGTCTTATCGATTCCTTTTTCATGCTCTTCCCTTCCCTTTTTGCATCTCAGCTATGGTTGCCCTCATCATCATGGGAAGAAAGTAAACACCCTGGCTGGAAGCTGTCCCCTCTCTCCACCTCCCTGGGAGGCTGCCCTCCAAGCCCACTGCTCTCAGTGGCATTGTTGGTGCAAAGAGAAAAAGGGAGAGTGGCTTTTGAATTTACAGCAGCAGGGACACAGTGAGAACATGAAGGCTTTGCTGAATGGCTTTGGTGACACTCCTAAGAACCCAGCTGATCTATTAAAAGATGCCACTGTGCAAGCTGCTTAAGAACCGTGCATTGACTTGTTGCAGCCATACCTGCTCCTGATCCCTTATTTTTACAGTTTGGCTACTGATTAATCTGTAGGAATGGCTTTCAGTGAACAGTGACCAAATATCATGTGCAAAGTGACCAAGTACCATGTGCTGATGGGAAAAGAAAAATCAGTAAGTCAGCAAGAAGGGCTGCAAGAGACTGTGTGCTCCTTACCACATGCAGCAACCTGCTCGATTAGGGAGTGATTGCCTAACCTCTGGGTCCAGGAACACCTACAGGCGCAGCCCTCAGGGCTGCTTACACACCCCTCCGGGCACACCTACCTTCCCTGGCACAACATCCTGGTGCAAGGGGTTGGGTGGAGGTCAGCACTGCATGCTTTTGATGTGCATTTCAAGCCTCATTTATTTTCAAATTATGCCCAGCATTATGAAATCAGGATTTTTGCCTTCAGAAACAAGCAAAAAAGAGATAAAACACTGCACGTAACCTGACTCGTATTCCTGAGAAGAGCACTGCCTCAGGTTTACTTGTATGGCTGCAATTAATTTAAGAAGGGGTATGGGAAGAGGAAGCAGAGAGAAATGCAGTAGGTGTGTGTAACCTCAGGCACATCCTTCAGGGACAGAAGAAAGTTCTTATGGCATCAGAGATGCAACTCCAGCCTGCTGGGGATGCAAGCTGTGTTTTGTCAGGGCTGGAAAACAGGGGCCAAGAGCTCCTGCTAAACAATTTCAAAGACCCACAGACCAAAAAAGAGAGTCTGGCCTGAGGCTTCCTACAGAAAAAGGCTAACAGAGTTCACAGATGGTGAACCTGTCTCCGTCTTGGGAATGGCAAACCTCAGGATATTCATACATACTCTCTGCTCTGCTCTTTTAAAACTAAGCTACTCTCCCCATTCCTCCCAAGACCTTTCATAGAATCAAAGAATCGTTTACACTGGAAAAGACCTTTAAGGTCATTGGGCCCAACCATTAACCCAGCATGGCCAAGTCTGCCACTAAACCATATCCCAAAGCACCTCATCTACACATCTTTTAAATGGCATTTTCTTCCCAGGGATTGTGACTTCGCCACTTCCCTGGGCAGCCTGTTCCAGTGCCTGATAACCCTTTCTATGAAGAAGTTTTTCAAAATATCTAGTATAAATCTCCCTTGGTGCAACTTGAGGCCATTTTCTCTTGTCCTATCACTTGTTAACTTGGCAGAAGAGACTGGCACGCACCTCGTTACAGCCTCCTTTCAGGTAGTTGTAGAGAGCAATAAGGTCTCTCCTTTTCTTCAGACTAAACAGCCCCAAGTCCCTCAGCCATTCCTCATAAGACTTGTTCTATAAACCCTTCATCAGCTTCACTGCCCTTCCTTGGACACGCTCCAGCACCTCAATGTCCTTCTTGTAGTGAGGGGCCCAAAACTGAACACAGTATTCAAGGTGCAGCCTCATCGGTGCCAAGTACAGGATCACTATTGCATGGAGAGATGGATAAATTTGGTAAGAGGTTAATCCCCTTGTGTTCTAGCCAGTCCTCAGAGATTAGAGGAGCTGGGGGTGGCTGGACTCATCTCTTAGCCAATTATTGCTGTGACTGTAGGCCCAACATCAGATGCATGAACAGCCTGTCTACTGTAGGTGTGGCTGCATTCAAAAGAAGCTGTCAGGTGCACGAACAGCACGGGTTACTCATATGCAGCATACACAAGATTCTGTAAGATTGCAAGCAATAAATGCACTAAGCTGCAGACCAGCTCTACAGCTTGGCATAGCTGAGATGGAAATCTTCTCGAAGGCCCTCCTTCTGAGAGGACAAACCCGTTGGTCTGTCCCTATGATGTGATGTTATGTACTTGTTATGTGCTGTTGCGCAAAGGGCGGGGGTGGGACTGTGGTCAAGCCATCATTCCTTGTGGTCAGCCTTCAGCAGCTGCACAAAATATTTGGAATTTTTGAACATTCCTTGGTCTTGGCATAACTTCTGCGAGAAGCAGAGAACTGCTGCAACAAGCAGAAGAACGGGACCGCACAGCCTCCATCTCACTTCACACTCCTCGTTGGTGCCATCACAATGCAAACCACTGGATCTTCACCCCAGTTCCACGTCTGGCCTGGTCACCAGGCGTTCATCAGCAATATTGAGCTTTGCAATTTCCCACTGCTTTGTGCTTCCAACACCTTGTCCTGCTGGCCACACTATTTCTGATACAAGGCAGGATGCTCTTGGCCACCTGAGCACACTGCTGGTTCATATTCATCTGGCTGTTGACCAGCACCCCCAGGTCCTTTTCCACCAGGCAACTTTCCAGCCGGGAGGGGATGCAACATACAAATGGGCTTGTAATCGAGGGGTGGACTTGACTATTGATGTCAATGCACAGATTTGTCATGAGTGTCAAACGCACCACAATCAAAGAAGCTAAGTGGCTTTTTTTTGGTATAGAGGATGATGGCTGAACTACCAGTGTGGGGAAGCCTGGCAGACTGATTACCTCACACTACCACGGACCCACCATGGCAAGCAGCATGTGTTTACAATGGTGGAAGCAACTACTACATGGTTGGAATCATACCCTGTGACCCATGCCACTACCTAGAACTCGACCTTGGACCTTGAAAAGCAAGTTTCATGGTGACACAGCACCCCAGAAAGAATTGAATCATATGATGGGACACATTTCCAAAAGGACCTCATAGACACCTGGGCCAAGAATGGCACAGACTGGGTGTATCCCATCCCCTGCTGTGCACCAGCCTCTGGGAAAACTGAATGGTACAGTGGACTCTTAGGGACTACACTGAGCGCAGTGGGTGCTGGGACATGCAAGCACTGGGATACACATTTAGCAGAAGCCACTTGCCTAGTTAACAGTAGACAATCTGCCAGTCAAGTTGGCCCTGCCCAATCAAAACTCCTGTGCACTGTGGAAGAAGAGAAGATCCCCATACTAGATATAAAGAACTTGTTGGGAAAAATCAGTCTGGGTTATTCCCTCCTCAGGAAAGGGTAAATTTCTTCATGGGATTCTTTTTGCCTAAGGACTTGGGTGCACTTGGTGGGTAATGCAGAAGGATGGGGGAGTCAAATGTGTACCTCAAGGGGATTTAATCCTGGGTGAAAATAACCCATGAGTTGAGTTGCATGTTACAGGAATTGCTATAAGAAGAAAACCTTGATGCTAGTCAGGCTAGGAGCAAGGGGAGGAGGTCATTGTAATGTCGAACCTTGTAACTTGGCCCAAAGGCACCAGGGGTGTAGATTGCAATGGATATACTCTTAAATTCTGGTAACTCATGATTTGCATTGCATGTTGTAGGAATTACTATAGCAAGAACCACCTGAGCCAGTGAAGGACAAGTCTTACAAGAAGCAGTGCAAGTGCAGCAACAATCTGACCTGAGCTGGATTAGGTGCCCAATAACTCTGTACAACACACCACCTCTCCTGTCCTGTGTTACCACCCTACCACATGGAGCCTAAGGTCATATACTAAATTAACTCAATGGACATTTTGTGGCAAAAGCCTTATGCACAAATAAAGCAAAACCAAGGAATTAATTCTGGAGCCCAGAGCTGAATCTTCTGTGTTTATCAAGTTCTGAAGAGTAAGAAGTCACTCATAAAAAAGTAACTCAGAAATTGCTATCACACAGTAGAAAGAAACGCTGAATTTTCAACTTAAAGACCTTCCAGAAGGCTAAAATTATATTTAGTTATTTACATTTTAATAGCTAAATCACTCTGAAAAGAAACATGTATGTACCTTGGTAAGCTTAAAAATAAATATGAACCATGTAGATGCAAGAAAAAGCTATTTTAGGAAATGCTTAAGTACTAGCTACAGCTAATATGCATTTGTAGAGCAGAATGTACAGTTGCCACTAAAAACTGTTATGCATAACTGCCCTTAAAAGCTTTTTTCTGTGAAGAGAAGTCCCTTGAGCTGTGATTCTAATATTCTCCTGTCAAACTGTGTCAGGTTCGGTGCAGAAGTCGTCATTTTCTTTATGTTAAAAGAAGGCTGTTTCAGAAACCACTAGCACTCTGTACCTGGACTGGACTTTGTGCATTGATTCAGGGAAGCGAGGCAAAGCTGCTCAGCTCTGGTAGGAGTGTGGAGTGGGGAGCAGGCTGTACTGCCTGTGAAGTGCAAGTAAAGAAGAATCATAGACTCACCATGGTTGGAAAGGACCTCTAGGATCATCAGTTCCAACCTTCCTCCCAAGATTTCCCCAACCACTAGACCATAGTCTCAAGTGCTACATCTACAACACCTCCAGGGATGGTGACCCCACCACCTCCCTGGCCAGACCATTCCAGTGCCTCACCACTCTTCTCAGTGAAGAAATTCCACCTTCCACTACAAACGTCTGTAGTCCAAAACTGTAGCTATGGCTACAATCTGCTGAGCAATGGTCCATGTTTCATGCCCTTTGCCCAAGTTACACTGACTAGGTAAACATGACCTGGATTTGTATGACCAGGCATGCAACTGCTTCCAACTTCTTTTCTCTGCAAGCTCACCAGCCATTAGCAG